GTATGTTTAACCATGTACAACTATAAATTATTCCCATGATATCAGAATCCTCCATTCCTACCAGTACTTTAATGTCATCTGTTTTATCTTATACTTTTAGCATTACAGTAGTAACAGTTAAGTCTACTCTTATAACTACTTCTATACTCATTTCTTATGGTAAATTTTTCTCTCCCTACTATTCTTTTTGCATTTAGTTTATCTTGGTCCTCACTACAGTCTAGTCCTAGTTTAAAACTTCCCTTACAGTGGAGTTAATAACCCGAGCAAACAAGCCATTCCCTATCCTATTTATATATCAAGAAGACAAAAAAAAAATTCAACTTGAGAAAGACTTCTAATAAGTATCAAAAATTTGAATAATTCTAAACATTTTCTTCTATTTTGGATTTTACTTTCTTTTATTTTAGAACTGCTTATCCTTCAGTGCTGGTTAGAAACTATCTTGCAAATTTGTTTGTGTAAAAAAATCTGGCTAACAGTAGCTTGAAGGATTTTTCAATTATACTGTTTACACATTTTTATTAATTTATTGTACAAAAGACAAAGTAGTTCCTTCATTATTTCATGAAAAGTGCATAAAAAGTTTGACAGACAAAGTGATAATTGATTCCTAACAGAAATTTATGATATTATGCAATATTTTTCAGTGCTAGTCATGTCAGTAGTACTTGATAAGAACAGCATTGACCCCCAGTGGCACAGGGGTATGTCTGCAGACTTACAACGCTAGAATCCGGATTTCGATACCCGTGGTGGGCAGAGCACAGATAGCCCATTGTATAGCTTTATGCTTAATTACAAATAAATAAAAAGAACAGCCCCAAAGCTGTTCACTATAAAGTATCTATCTGCTATATGCAACTAAAAACTTTCGGATGGTTGGGGTATTTTTTTTAATTATCTTGGCACACACTTTACTCAAGCATTGTCAGTAAAAATAATTTACTGACAAGTATTGTTTTACTGTTGTCAATTAATTATGGATACTTCAAGGTAATACTTGCTAAATATTAAATATTTTGTATCTTAAGAATGCCATTTCCCAGCATTGTAGTTCTGAGAGGGAGAATCATCCACAAAAAAGAAACATTGTTCGGCTAAGAATCATGAACCCTAAGGCCACTATTTCCAGATATTTCATAATGCTGGGAGAGGAATTACCCAGAAGATTCCATAAAAACACAGATCTGCTTGTCAAAATTTATTAAATTATTAAGTAGGTTCTGACAGACTCAGAAATTCAAATAATTGATTCTTCTTCTTCAGGAGTGTAATGTAATACACTCAGAATAGCTTAGTTACCTGTTGTACTGATATTCTTAACCAAGTCTTGACAGTGTGTTTGCTTGGAATGTAGGCTGATAAAAGTTTTTCACTTAGCTGATATTATTCCATTTATTTATCTCAAATTTTTAACCACATTTGAGTTCATTTGTATCTATTTTTCCAGAAACTTGTGATTAACATTTCCTTTGATTAATCACACTATGAACTTGAATTTTGGTATAACTTTGGTTTTTATATTCTTCTGGGAAATTGTTGAACTGCTTATGTAATCTAATTGGTTAGGTAGACAGTAGAGAATATTACACATCACAAACAATACAACTAGTAAATCACATTCAAGTTTTAACTTCCAGAAAGGAGTACAGTTATTAACTATTGTTACGTCTCTGTTTGTTTGTTAATTTTCCGTAGAAATTCTTTCAGAAAAACTTTAGCAATACAAGTCCTTTCTTAAATAAAACAAGTTTATTCTTTCTCAATACAACTTTGCAATACACTTAATTTCCACAGTCACTTTAATAACTTAACAAATGCTATAATTCACAACGAATGATTCATGCCTACTACCGCGCTTGACTCAATTGTCCGTCTCTATCTCTGTCTGCCCTTCAATTCCATTGTTTGGTGCACTTATATACAAGAATACCGCACATCTAGTAAACACTCGACCATTCACAAACCCTCGAGAATATCATGATGTGTTACTAGCATCACATGACTTTCGCTGTCGTAACACTACCCCTTCCTTAGTATTGTTCGTCCCGAACAATAGCCACTTACATTAAACCAATAGAAAATTGACAGTAACTTAATTAAATGGACAGAATTTACAAACACAAAAATTAAAATTCAACAAAGTCTCTTAATTTTACAGGACGTATCTTCTTCCGTACTGGTCTATGTCTCATTGGCTTCTGCTTCATGTGTGGTTCATCTGCTCCATCAGGAAATGTCCTATTATCGGTAATAGTCTCATCAGTGGTAGTAAAATCATCAAGGGCTACACTGTTTCCCTTCTCAAAACCGAGTAGAGTTTCTTCTTTGACAATGGCTTTTCCAGGTGAAACGTCCTCAGTGGTGTCTTTTGTTCCGTTGTTCACTTCGTTCCAACTGAAATGT